AAAAAAAAAAAAATATGCTAAATAATATATCATGCTACAGCCTATACTATATTATATTATTAGTTTAGTTATTAGGATATAAGCATTATTAATAATATTATTTTATACTACTACCTATATATTACAATCCTAACACAATATAATAGTTTAATTTTTAAACAAATAAAGATACTTATTAGTGTTTTATTTCATAATTTAGATACTTGCAACATGTAACGAGTGGTTTGTGGATGGAACTTTCAAGATTGCCCCAAGCCTTTTTTCACAAGTATTTGTAATCTTAGGCACTCGCAATGGTGRTGTTCATCCATGTTTATATGCACTTCTACCAAATAAAAACCAGGCCACATACAACAGACTGCTGATGGAAATCAAAAATCTGGCTCCAGGAATAAATGCTAGAAGCATTTCGGTTGATTTTGAGATTGCCATTCATAATGCTTTCAGAACCGAATTTCCTATATTGAAATTAGAGGATGTTTTTTTCATCTCATACAAAATATGAAAAAACATGTTGCAGTTGTAGGATTAATGGCGTAAGTTAAATGTTTTATTTTATTTAAATGAAATATATTTTTGTAAATCAATGTTAGGGATTTTATTATTTGAGAAATAAAAGTCAGAACAAATTGCTTTTAAATTAAGAAATTTGATTCATATATAATAGAATTTAAATTTAAAAATATATGACTTGTTTTCATAACTACCTATCTAATTTGTAAATAAATCGTTTTTGAATAATTCAGTAAAAAAAAAGTATGTATATACATATATAAAGTAAGTTAGTATAATATCATAATATTACTCTATTTAGAGACTACAGAAATGATGCAGACTTTAATTTACATGCTCGCATGATACCTGCATTGGCGTTTGTCCCACCAGAAGATGTAGCTGCCTATTTTGAAATTCTAAGTGAAGAATTAGAAGTATTGTTTCCATCATTACAGCCAATTCTCGATTGGCTAGAAACAAACTATATTGGAATGCTGAGACGGGAAGGTGTAAGGAGAACACCAGCGTTTCCTATACCCACTTGGAATTTATATAATAGAGTTTTAGCAGGACAAATGGTATGTTACATAGTTCAATTCTTTCTTCTTTCTCTATTTTTACTCCATATGAAATTAAAACTAGTTAGATTTTTCTGAAAAAAAAAAAATCAAATATTAATCCCTCATCTTATAACAATATTAGAATTATTATCATTTTTAAGTTTTAATTAAAGCAAAAATATTTTTTTTAAATTTATTTTTAATAATAATGAACATGTGTGAGGGTACTAATATTGTAAAATGTTTTAAATTAATCAACTGCATAGTGCATACTTATATAAAAAAATTAAATATGTATTATATATATATTTTAATTCATATTCTTATAATATAGATTGAGACATTARACAAAGTTTTCATTAAAAATTACATCACTAATAACTGAACTTTGGTTAACATATACAAATACATCATGTATATTCTTATTTATAATACCTACCTTTAATAATATAAATGTTTAATTCACTTAAAATTTATGACTGGAGATACATTTTAAATTATTGTGATTTATATTATATTAGTAAAATAGGTACCTAGGTACTTACAAATAATTGTTATTTTCTTTGTTTATGATTCGGATATCTATTTTAACAGAAAACAAATAATATTGCTGAAGCATCTCACAGGAGACTCCAGGCGCAGCTGAGCATGACAAATCCGACAATTTGGAAATTTATTATRGAGCTCAGAAAAGTTCAAGCAGAGAGGGACATATATTATGAATTCCTTGTTGCGGGTAATCAACCACCTGCTTCAAAAAGAAAATTTGTGGATGCTGGAAACCGTATTTTGCACTTGGTACAAAATTATAGAAACCGTCAAGCCATTGAGTACCTAAGAGGACTTGCACATAATTTTGTTATGGATCAATAAATAAACAAAAATATATTAATAAAATACCTACCTATTAACATTTTTCCTTATATATTGAATATCAATAGTTAGGTGGGTACTCAAACAAATGCACTCCTAGTAACTACAGATACCTACTTAGTTTAATTTGTATATAATTATTTAAATTACCTACTTAAAATGTGTCCCCCAGATCTATAACAAAGTAATACCTATGTCCTACATAKATTGATCTAATATTGTATGTATRACAATTATATTTATCTACAGGTTTAAATTTTTATGTATGTATCTTTAATTGTATTTATACATTTAAAATAATCTGTATACCTATTTTGATTATTTTTATAAATAAATCTGATTATGTAAATTATTAATAAACAAATTCATTTAAATATAATAAACTTGGCTATTTTTTCACTATAGGTGATAATTTGATATAGAAAAATTGTAAGTGTGTATGGTTAGTGGGTTGTGGGATATATATAATTAGGTACCTATCTATGAAGTATTAATTTAAATAAATA